TACCATAGCCTCCCGAAGCCACGCGGCAGCCCTCATGAGCACGAGCTTGTTCAGATGCTCTGGATGTCGTCTAATAGCGACCTGCCCAATCATGTCGATCCCGATCCATAGAGTCTGGACGACCATACGCATTGCGGTCTTAGACAGATGAGCCCTGCAATCCGTACTCATTAGAGCGGAGAGAAATGCCATCTCAATGGGAGCGCCATAGAAGTCATCCAGCCCGATCAGAAGCCCTATCGAGAAGAAAAGCAAGCTCAACCCCAACAAAGACACGAACACCAGCTTCATGTAGTACAGCCAGAAAGTGAACCCGTCTGTCCATGTCAATTCTCGTGCGAAGAAGGCATATGAAAGTAGAGCCATCTTCTGTTCGTCATTTTGTGTGTGTAACCGTCCTAGCAGGGGTATGTTGGCGACTTGCGGGCTCGCGAGTACAGATCCAACGAGCAGTGCGTGGTCGACTAGTGCTTGGGTGTAGCAATTCGACAAGAGACGGCACATGATGTAGTTCGTCGGGCTTCCGTATGTTACGGCGAGAGGGGCTGAGCAGAGGGAGCAGTTCGTCATGTTGAGCTTTAGGGTCGTGATCTTTAGACACTCGCTGCCGATGAGGTGGCCGCAGGGTAATAGTCTTATGGCCTTGCATGGGAACTCGTTCGGGTCGTCTTTGTTGTCGACGGCGTTGAATGGCCGCATGCATACGTAGCATTCGTCTTCTGGGTTGGGCGATGCGACGTCTTCTGTTTTGTAGGTTTTTAGTGAGGCTGTGATGCCGTAGATCGGCTGAGAGGATGCCATTGCAGTTTAAGTGAGGCTGAAAGATAGCGAGTTGTGGGGTACTTTGATAAGTTGTAGCCTGGTGCTAGTAGCTATGTCGAAGGCTTCGTGTTATAGTGCCATTCACGTGCAGTGTATCGATCGGCAGGAGTTAGTGAAATGAGTGAAATTGACAACGAATAGTCACAACGTTTCCTATCCATGGCCTGCACCCTCTCCATGTTAAGCAGTAAGATACTTGCGATTAATGTGATCCAAATCATTATGTTTGCTGCTTTGCGGGACGCAACATGAGCTATCATTCACATCGTTAGCCCCGCTTCTGAAGAATGCCAGACAATAAAAGACTTACAATAAAATCCATCTTATCCTCCCCACTCCACCTCCTCAAATCCAATTCCACGGTCTTCACAGCCTGGAACCCATGCCTCGCATACACGGGCGCACCCATGGGACTCGCTTCAAGGAACGCCTCAACACCAACCTCATCCGCCTTCTCGCAACCCCATCGCACTAGCATACTTCCCGCTCCCCTCCTTCCATGTTGCGGCAATGTAACCAGTGTGTCTAAGACAAAGTACGGTCTCCTCCCCAGAATCTCCCGCTTGTTCGAGTTGAACAATCTGAAGAGTTCCGCGAATATATCCGGGTCACTTTCTTCGTATGGTGGTGGGACGGTGAGACCGGCATCGACTTCTTCCCAAGTACGTTCTTTCGCGCCTGCTTCGTTGGGCTTGACGTAGCGCCAACGTGCGCCTGCAATCATCTCACCGGTTGAGGTGTCGACGCACTTGACATAGAGTATGCCCTTGTTGGTTATGCCATCGCGGATGTCTTCTGTGACTTTGTCGAGGGTCTCCTGAGATGGCTCGCCGCGGGCGTAGAGAATCTTATTGACGGTGGGTCGGAAGACTTCGTGTCGTATGCGCATGTATTGCTCTGCTTCTTCGGGCTTGAGAAGCGAGACTGTGAGGTTCGGGTCTGGCATGTTGATGGTTGGAAGACTTTGTGGGACAGAGACGAAAGACACTACTCGACAGTGAAACGTGGGTAGTGGTACTGAGAAGCAAATCAAGAAATCTGCGTGTACTTATGTACTGATGTGTCTGCCTAGGGCAGAGTCATACCTTCCGCGTTTGGCGTCGCCCGGCATGCCTGTCGGAATCGGAGTAGTCAACCAATAGAAGTCCGAAGCGAAGGGAGTTGGAGGTACGATATGAGCCTTGTTACCCACCAAAGAATGGTGTATCTGTCGTTCTACGCCCTACATGTAAAAGGACTGACACACTTGCCATGTCACGTGGCCCTCAATGGGTGATGCACCTGGGCAGCCCTGGAGGTGGTTTCCTGCGGGGGAGCAGCTAATGATTTAGAACTCAATTATTCGTTTACAGCGAGACGTCTACTCGGCGTACCATCTGCCAAGATATGTGGTTCTTGACTATTTACTCACGCTGTTCCATGTCAAGTTTAGACGTATTACTATGGTGTTGTTGTGTTACATACTGAGTACTGTGGGTGGTGGTGCTGCGAGGTGCTGACTGCGGAGGCTCGCCTAATGCTGCCGCGTACCAGGGCCATCCCTGCAACAATTTCTCCCTCAGTTTTGCGATCGCGCGCCGCAGCTCTTCCCAGCACATTCACGATAAACCACAATGGCGCCCGCAAAGACTATTCCACACAAGTCCGGTGGTCACCAGCGCTATGCTCCCGAGAAGGCGAAAGATCCTGCGCGATTCCAGTCCGAACTCGAGGGCTCAGACGACGATGCAAATGCAGGCGCACTGCAGCCGGTGAAGGAACCACAGGACGATGACTTTGAGGGGTTCGGCTCCGAGGAGGAAGTTGGAGACAACGGAGCTCACGACGAGGAAAGCGAGGACGAGAGCATAGACATCCAGACGGAGAAGAAGCAGGAAAAGCCTGTCTTGCCGAAGGATGCTGAGGAAGAAGAGCTGGAGCGCATGATCTTTGGCGACTCTGAAGGCTTCCGTCAGGGTCTGGAGAATTTCTCGCTCGATCCTACCGCGAATGCGTACGGCGACTCATCAGACGAATCCGGACCAGAAGAGGCCGACCTCGACGCTGTGGCAGACCAGGACCTCTTCTTCTTCGATGCCGGCCCAGTCGCTGCGCCTGCCGGCTCTGTGGCTGCAAAGGCAGCAGAATCAGATGAGGATGATGGCAAGCCCGCCTGGGAAGACAGCGATGACGAGAGGCTTGTAGTCAGCTTGGCGTCGGTGCCGCAACTGAGGAAGCTGCGAGAGACGGCGGATGACGACATGGTCAACGGCAAGGAATATGCGCGGCGGTTACGGAAGCAGTACCAGAGGCTATACCCGACGCCAAAGTGGGCGGCACATGCGACAGGCAAAGCCAACAAGAAGCGCCGACGGGATATGGATGACGACGAGAGTGGCGATGAGTCTGCGAGCGACATGGACGTGGACGAAGAGGATCTGTCTACACAGCCATTGGCCAAGCTACTCAAGGATGCGGATATCCTGTCACAAACCTCACGAAGCGTGGCCAAGCGGAGGAAGGTGCAAGCAGGCACCATTGACATTCAGCGACTGAAAGACGTCGCTAAGGCTGGCCCGGTGAGTATTGCGACGCCATTGTATAGAATTCTCTTACTGACAGCCACTACAGTCTGCCATCACGTCTCTCTCCTTCCATCCTGCATACCCGCTGCTCCTCTCCTCCGGTCCTAGCTCAACACTATACCTTCACCACGTCAATCCCAACCCGCCGAACCCGAACCCTCTCCTCACATCCCTGCACATCAAAAAGACTCCTCTCGTCACAACAGCGTTCCATCCTTCACCTTCGGACTCGCGCATCTTCCTCAGCGCGCGACGACGCTACTTCCACGTCTGGAATATTGCGACCGGTAGAGTGGAGAAGGTGTCGCGTGTATACGGTCACCAGCATGAACAACGGACAATGGAGAATTTCTCCCTCTCACCGAACGGCAAATACATGGCTCTTCGGGGCTCCTCGAGAAAAGGTGGCGGTGTTATCAACATTCTGGATGCAAGGACACTGCAGTGGGCGACACAGGTGCGGGTGGAGTCAAGAGGCGGTGTTGCTGACTTCGCATGGTGGGGCGACGGCACTGGTATGAGCATTGCGGGCAAGAACGGAGAGATCACAGAATGGAGCGTCGAGGGAGGCGTCATAGGACGGTGGAATGACGAGGGCGCTGTGGGTACTACAGTCATCGCACTCGGTGGCAAGAGCGGACGTGAAAGCTGGATAGGCGGCGATCGATGGGTGGCCATTGGCAGCTCAAGTGGCGTGGTCAACGTATACGACCGGCGAGCATGGAGCGAGAACGATCCTTCGGTCAAGGCCACCAAAGACGATTCGAACGGCGGCATCCCCAAGGCCCCGAAGCCGATACGCGACTTGCAGAACTTGACGACGCCGATTTCGCATCTCACATTCACCGCGGACGGTCAAGTACTTGCCATGGCGAGTCAATGGAAGAACAACGCAATGAGGCTGGTGCACCTTCCATCGGCAACCGTCTTTAAGAATTGGCCTACCGAGAAGACACCGCTCGGCAGAATCACAGCAGTCGCATGGGGAAGGCCGAGCGAAGAGGAGGAGAGAGAAGGCAGTCTCGCACAGCTAGCAGTCGCCAACGAAGCTGGACATATCAGAATGTGGGAGATAAGAGCTTAATTTTGGAAGCGTCGACGTTAGAGGACGCCAAATCACTAGTGTTTCCGAACCAATCTGGCGGCTGGGAGTTTTGACCGAGAGTACTGCACATTTCGCACACAAGAACTTTAACGTATCTTCGAAGAAGCAGCGCAAATGTTTGCCTCACCTCTTCCCTCCAGTGATGAGCAAGCTGCGTCAACTGCGAGGGATCAGTCAAGCGCGGGTTCTTACATGCTGGATCGCAACTGCTGCGAACTCCCGAGCCGAGGACGGTCAACAAATATTCATCTCGCTTTCCAACTATTTTGCAAACTTGTCGCATCGTCCTCACTCCGTCTATCGAACCATCGTCTATGCTTACTCTATTTTCACCGCAACCATGGCAGGTACACTCCCCACGCACCCGGTCTTATACACCCACCTCGTACGACTATCCTCCATCACCACAACAGCACTTTTGGATACCTCTTGCACCACAATCATTGCACAACAGCCTATCAGCAACATCTTCGCAAGTGCATCATAGCAGCAACATTTCCTCTCTCATCATGGGCAAGAACAAGATCCGCAGCAAGGACAAGTCAAGGAAAGACAAGGCCTCCACAAGCGACACGAATAGCTCAAGCACCCCTTCGACATGGACATCTTCTCACGGGGCGGTTATAACCAGATCCACTAGCAATACATCTGATCGTCGCCAGCTTCCAACAGAACCCCCAGGGAAAACGCTCTGTGTTCCTACCATCACCTCGCTCAAGGATACAACTCCATCCAGCTCTTCCCCCGGTTCATCGCCCGCTCCTCCGGTAATACGCGGAAAGGGCGCAAAAGACAAACGAGACTCGGTCATCTCAAGCACATGGGAAGGTCCAAAGCAGGAATCCAAACCTAAAGCTACCACCGCAGTCCGACCTCGATGGGGCTTCAAGCCTCGCAACTGGTGGCCATGTCGCACAATACAGTGGATCTACCACTTCTTCGTCGCTCTGACTCGGATACGCTGGACCGACAAGCAAATCTCCAAGGACCTCATGTTAACACTAGCCTTCGTCGGTATAGTCGTGGCCGGTGGCTACGTTGCCTTGGACATACTGCTCAACGCAATACCCGGTGTCTCGGCTCAAGCCGTAGATAGCAACTGCAGCATCGTCTATGTCACTGTCCCTGGACCGATCATTACCATCTCGCTCGTTGGTGCGTCGCCGACCAATCCCGCGAAAGGCACGTACTACTTTTCGGTTGTGAATAGTACGACGGAGTGGCTGGACAGTATTGCGCCGCCTACTCGATTCAGTACGTTGCCTACTAGATCGGTGGATGTTACGCCGATTGTGTCTTCGGTGGGGCTGACTGGTATACCTTCTTCTGGTACTGCTGTTGTGTCTCCGACGTTGGGATCGACTACGTCTGGGCTGTCTCTGTCGGGTCCTTTGGTCTCGTCGTCTGTAAGTTCACCTTCGTCGGGCCCAGCATCGTCTGAGACATCGAGCTTACCTCGGCCTATCAATCAACCACAGAGACCGTATCCGTCGTATCCTGTTTCAACGAGTGTTGCCATATCCAGTACCGCGTTGTCTACTTCCGTTTCTATGCTGTCTACAATCATTTCGCCATCTACGGTCTCTCCGATATCGAATACTATCCCCTCATCAGTCGTCTCGTCAAACCTCCTCCCGGCTCTGAGCTCAAGCATACTCCCAAGCACGCCTGGCGGAACACCTTCGGCGCTTCCAACTGGTTCGAACGTACCAACGGCTTCAAGTACACTTACAACGTCTCTGGGTCCATCCGGTGGATCGGCTACTCCCGGTCGTTCTACATCAACAACTACTGGAGGCTCTTTCGTTTTCCCATCCACACAGAGCGATGGCTTTACCGTGTCTCTGCCTGGTCCCACTTCAGGACCGACTCTTTCCGCCGACATATCGTCAAGTACCTCCATAAGCCTGACGAGCAGTATCGGCAGTTCTGCAATACCATCGCCAACGGGTCTTAGTCAATCCCTATCTACATCTGCCCCTCTCTCGCCAAGCAGCTTCGGCTCATCTACTCTTCCCACCAGTGTAGGTAGCTCCTCCGTTGTGCCATCGACAGGTTCCACTTCCTCGCCCTCCTTGACGTCCTCGATCGGGAGTTCCGTTTCGACACCGGGGATTTTGCCGACTTCAGCTCCATCATCCGCTCCAAGCAGTACATCCAGCCCTACATTGTCGTTGAGCTCCTCGAGTCAGCCTTTGACTAGTATACTCAGCCCAAGTACCTCCACCGGCTTTGCCACGCTGTTCCCCATTACAAACTCGTCGTCGACGCTGAGCTTCAACATGACCTCTAGCTCTTCTACGCTGTTGAGTTCTAGCACGATGACGAGCTCTTCAGTTGGCTCTAGCTCTTTGGCTAGTAGCTCTTCGTCGTCCGGTGGTAGCATAAGCCTTACATCTGCTACTACCTCGTCCAGTTCACGATCGATCTCAGTTTCAATTTCACAAAGCACTTTGACTTCGAGTCTGACCGCCACCACCTCGTCTGGGTTACTATCGAGTTCTGCGCCACTTTCGCAAAGCACTTCGGCTTCTATTCCGACCGCCACCAGTGTGTCCAGGTCACCGTCAAGCTCTGTTTTCATTTCGCAAAGCAACTTGACTTCCAGTCTGACCGCCAGCACCGCGTCCAGCTCACTATCAAGCTCTATCCCAGTTTCGCAAAGTACTCTGACTTCTACATTGACGTTGACGACAAGTACCTCTCCGCTAGCGACGTCGTCTGCTCCTCCAGGCTTTAACGCCACGTCTATGTTTAGCGCTCGGGCTATGACGAAGGTGATATCGTATGGGGATGTCGCAATTAGCTTCGTCTTCCCGTCACCCAACATCTCAACGACCGTGTCGTACTGGACTGGAATATACCCCACGGTCACTGGACCAGAGCCGTCAGATCTGCAAACTCTACCTTTGACAACACGGACTGAACGCCAGACACCGATCTCTGCTCTGCCATCTTTCGAGATATTCTCATCCCGATCCAGACGTTTCAAGACGGTAGTGACGACAGTATTCGAAGACGAGGATGAAGGCACGACATCACTAGGGAAGCGGCAGGATATTCCAATCACTGTTGTCGTGCCCACCCCAACGCTAGAGACAGCGATACTTGCGACAACAACCGTGGCTATTCCCGATGCACCAGGGCCTTCATCGTGCGGCGAGTCGGGCAACTTCACGCTGACGTTCGATGACACGGTCACCGGCGATGATGACAACACTATACTGCTCGTCGCCAGCGGCATGAAGAACCCCTACCACCACCTCTTCTACGGCAACGGATACACATACGTACCTGACATGTGGGAGCCATACCCCGCAATTTCCCAGCCAAACATCGCCATGTTCCTGCCTCTGACCGGGCGGCTCCTTCCCAACACGCCATTTGCAGGCACGATGCTTCCTGGCGAACTGGGTGCCGGACCACGAGCTTCAGTCAACGCGTACTGGTTCAACGCGTACTCCGCTCACTTCGGCTGTGCCCTCAACGGCCTCACACCCTGTACATTGCGCATATCGGGCTATCGCTACGACACCACTCTCCAACAGGAAGTGCTAGTCGCAGAACAAAACGCGACTATCCCGGCATGCTGGGGCTACATCAACTGCCGCCTCACTCAGATCTTCTTCAACGATGACTTCCGCGCGCTCTCGGGTATTCAGTTCAATGCTTACACATACAACCTGGGTATACCGCAAGTGCACATGATGGATGATCTGCAGATGGAATGGTACAACAACACCTGTTCGGCGGGTATACTACGGATAGGACACAGCTAGTGTGGATCTAGGGTGTGGCGAGGTTGAAGTCAGTTCATCGGGTATATGATATGTTGTCAGAGATGGCGATGATAAGATTAGCATAGTATATCTTGGTGAGCAGTATATCTAGACGAGAGTTGAATACAGTTAGTCCACATCAAATGCGCCACTCTTCCTGCAGATGACCGTGATGAAGCCTCAGGTGACGGCTACACCTTCGCGCTGCAATGAGGCGTGAGGTCTCCAACCGCGTCGATTGGCCGGTCACGCCGTGCACGGCAATGGTTGTCCGAGATGTGTTCCAAGGTGTTTCAGACGGGGGGGTGCCATGTGAGCTGGAGGGGAGTCGAAGACGCGTCGGCAGCCAGCCACGGAAGGAACGACGCGTAGCGTGGGTGCAAGCTCTCCACGGCGACTTCCCTCGTCGACGTCCAGGGTCCTGTTATGGCGTCACGCGGCGCCGTCGGATTTCCATGTCACGCGCGAACCGCTGAGGCTGCAGCTCCACGCGGTGCGCGCATATCGATATAGCCGGCGTATCATTCTCCAGCATAGCTTTGAATTTCCTTTTTCTTCCTTCTCCAAACCTCGCTGCAGCTCTCATTCGTCTTCCCGTCTTCGATTGTCGCATGTCCTGTTCCCGCCTCAAGCGACGTGCCGCATCTGCCTTTACCGCGTAGATACTAGCGTTTGCGCGGCAAGCTTGACCTCTTCACGGGTGCAGGTGATAGCAGTCTCTTTCTCGGCTTTTGCTGCTCAGAGGGAAATTCTCTCACTGCTCCGCCGAAGGTAGACCGCCGACCCAGGCCCGAGGCCCGCTACCACAATTTGCAGAGCTATGGCTACCTTTGCGCCGACCAATTTTCCCTCAGACGTCCGAGACAAGCCACCCCACCAAGAGCCCCCACCACAGCATCTCCAACACCACGGGCCCTTCTCCCATCAGCTCAACCCGCCCACCGCGCCTCAGTCTCAGTCGTCGAACCCCCCGCCGCAGATAGCCAGACGTGCCTCGCGCGACCTCAGGCCCCAGCACTCCAACGGCGCAATGGCGGGCGCGAATGGCCATGGGCCCATGGCGGTGCCGGGCGGGCGCGCCAACGGCCACGAGCATAGGGCAAACTTGCGCGAGATGGGCTTCGCCGGCCCGCGCAGCCCACCAAACAACAAGAACACCTCACACGTCCCCTGCAAGTTCTACCGGCAAGGCGCGTGTCAGGCTGGCAAGGCGTGTCCCTTCCTGCACTCCGACGAGCCGCTGACGGAGCGGGCGCCCTGCAAGTACTTCACCAAGGTAAGACATGTGCGGGAGGAGGTGAATCATCGTTAATCAGTACCCAGGGAAACTGCAAGTTCGGCCAGAAATGCGCCCTCGCCCACATCCTCCCCAACGGCCATGTCGTGAACCGCGGAAACGCCGGTAATCACTTCAGCCGCATGAACATTCCCCACCACCAGGAGATGCCCATGAATAGCTCGCTGCTTACCATGCAGGCGCACATGGGTGGTATGCAGCCAGGGTACCCGTATGCCATGCCCGACGAGTACGCGAACCAGAAGAATCAGTACGACATGATTCCGACCATCGACACCACCTTCTCTTCCCACCCAGGCTCCAACTATGGCTCACCGCCAAACGAGAACGGCCGACTCCCGATATCGCCGACACAAAAGGGCTTGAGCGTGATGGATGTAGGACTTCCTGCGTCTTTTGATAGCCAGGGTGTCTCGACCATGGCGCGATACGGCCCCATTGCATCTTCAGTGCCCGCCAAGTTCCTCGCAAACTCCCCGCCGTCCTCGTACCAAGCCGATTCGCCCGCGCTTCGAAACCTACACGACTCCGCGTTTGGAGAAGGTCTGCGGAGGGGCATTGCAGGGCTGGGGTCGTCTCCACCAGAGTCGGTAGAGCAGCCAGTTGGACGGAGGATGTTACATTCTGAGCTTGCCGCGAACCGCTCTCGAGGCATCATGTCGTCGAGTGTAGGCGCGCGACCGACATACAAGGACGAGGAATGGGATGAGACGGACATGATTGGCAAATTCGAGGAGGACCTGCTGCCCAATTCGCTGAGCGATCTTCTGACACCACAGGAGAAGATGCGCCGCTTCTCGCGCGACCAGGGCGAGAGCGACAACCGCACCTCGCAGTCTAGGTTCGGAGTCTCGCCAACAGCGTCAGACCTCAAGTACGGATCGCCATCAGCAGCCACAGCTTCTCCCTCGAGATTCCAGTCCATGTGGGCCAAGCCTCGAGGCCCGACTTACGATGGAGGATTCGAATCAGGCTCACTACCAGGCCAGTCAGCCTTCGGACACGTCGGCTCACCCCTCCGCAACTCAAGCCTCCACCCAGGAGCCAGCCCCTCCCTACGCGCTATGAACCGACCCACCACAGGCGACATGAGCCCATACCTCGCCTCACCTCCGCGCCAAGCTTCGATGTCCATGATCAGCCAGCAACTCTCGCGCACCCGCATATCAGCCCGCGACGAAAGCGGCATCACCAGCAACCCCGTCCACCCCGGTATCAACCGCGTCACCTCCGCATCCAGCATCGGTAGCTCCAGTGGCCGTCTCGGTATCGATCGCGCTGTAAGCAGCAGCAGTATCAACCGTGAGAGGATCGAGGAAGAACAGGGTCTGTTCAGCATGGAAGAGGAGGATGATCTGAACAAGAGCAGGGACGGCGCTTCGACTACCTCTAGCAACAGCAACAAGCGGTTGAGTGGTCTGTCTTGGGGTAGTGGTGGTAAGGGCAGCCCGAACCTGGCCCCTGTTGGCGGTCATCGGACTGCTGGTAGTTCTGCACTCGGCAAGGAGACGGGTGCGGGTGCTTGGGGCGGGAACGCTTGAGGCGATGGATGAGTCCAATGCGACGTATCAGTGTCGCAAGGAACTACGCCGGATGCCCAGAGCCGATCCAGCACCAGCAGCCACCCCACGAGCGATATCTCTACGACATTCTTCCCCTACATCACTCACTTTCAAGAAAAAGGTTGGAAAATTCTCAGCGTTCCCGGCGCAACTTGCATACAGGGTCCATGTTTCTCCACGACATCGACCCTAATCCCTCCCATCTTTCAAACGGCATATACATAAAAGTCTCTCAAAGCTTCGGCTTGACATGATCAATTACGGGCGTACACAGCACATTACGGCACGGCATGGCACGGGCATGTGCCTTTTCCTCCAATTTCCTATTATTTCCGTTTTTTTCTTTCTTTGCAAGTGGGCGTTCGTGCGTTTTTCTTCTTATTTCCACATGAATGGTGCGTCATGGGCAATGGAGTTTCAAACGAAGACAATGGCTAGTAGCTATCTTCTTATAGTGGCTAGGCTTCTGTATGGGGTTAATGTAGTGGATGCGACGAAGGGTTTACTGGAAACGAGTATTTACGATGGCATATGAATGAGCATGGAAAGATGAAATGGGTGGATAGGTAGCTTTAGCTGGAATGTATATATACACCATTATTCTATGAAGAATCTTCCGCTTGCGTAAGAGCGATGTAATTCCGCGTCCCATTGATAATAGCGACCTGTAGGCGCCTTGAAGTCGAATGCCCTCACGTGCCTCGGTACTGCGTGCCGCCAGTCGCTGGGCGGCGTTTGTCAGCAGGTGAGGGCTGATCATGAATGGCGTGGGCATCTGGGAATGGTGGGTACGACGTGTGCCGTGGACATTATGTACGTGGATACTGAATCGTCTCGAAATGACTAGGAGATCTGCTTGGGTTGGGATCCGACGCCGTGTCGAGTGGCTACACCTCCGTGGGATTTGGGAAATCGTAGTCGTTGATTGAGTTCCCAAAGGTGTGGTTGAATTTGCCTGTTTCAAGGAACTAACCTGTCGAATTCGAAGTTTTCAAATGTCTCATCGTAGTCGCTTGTTGAGTTCCCAAAAGTGCCGTTGTTATTGCCTGTTTCAAGCCACTTGTCGAAATCGAAGTTTTCAAGTGTTTCATCATTGTCGCCAGAGTTCAGACCAAGAAGGTTATGAAGCTAGTGCTAAAATTAGTATATATACACAGCTGAATGTTGTGAAGTGCACTTACATCGGCAAAAGGAGGACCCCCGTTGTCTATGGCTTGGTCGGAAGGAGGAACAGGCTGAGCCTCCTCATCAACTGCAGTGCGTCGTACCTTTGCAGGTATGAGTAAAACATTTGACTGGCCATGATGTTTACGCTTATGCGCCTTGAGTGCGGCTGTCTTCCCAAAGCCAATGCGGTAGTATGGGCATGACGCTGTCTGACAATACACGCGTTGAATGTGAACATTCTCGTGCTCCACCCGGAGTTGCTCAGTGGCAAAGCCCTGCGATAGCCTTTCACAGTGTGGAAAGCGGCATCGGAAAGCGGTGGAGGCATATGATTCCTGAAACGCCCGAAGTGTGGCTGGCGCGATACCTTGTACCTCGTGTTGCGCTAAGAGATACACGACAGCGCTCTCATACACGTGGGCGAGTCTGCTGAAGAGCGTTCGGTCGTTGTTGAGTACGTAAGTCACGATATCTAGAATGAGCTTTGTGAGATACACGGAGGTGAACGATCCAGTTCGAACCTACCTGAACTGTTGTCGCCATCGAGCTGGCCGACTAATCGCCTGAACTCCAGTACGTCGGCCATCAATCCGTAGATGGGCATATTGAAAAAGTGTCTGAGGGGTTCATCGGCCTGGCTATGGTTGATTTCGCCCGGTGAGTTGGTCTGGGTTATGGTACGTCCGAGTGCATGCAGACAACTTTCGTGTCCTTCGTGCATTCTCGCTAGATGGTGCTGAAGTGATCGACCCAGGCCAAGGGTTCCCCGCTTTGATGCGTATTGCGAGCAGTGTTCAATCCAAAATTCTATCGCGTATGGTAAAAGCCTATAGTTACCACTCGCGATGAGAGCAAGGTAGTCTGTAGAATTATTTCCCAAGCGTACGAGTTCCAGACCGCGCGCAATGACGATGGCGCAGGCGGACGATGTGTCTAGTGCAGCATCGACTGCTGGAACAATTCGGGAGGTTGGAGCCTTTAGGAAATATCTGCATAATCGTTAGACCGTATGACTCTTGCTCATCGGTTGACTTACTCTGTCACCGAGAAGTGAACTGGTACTATTGTCGAATCCGGTAGTTCCTCGATTAGTGGCTTACAGTGGTGAAGTATAGAGGCGACAGGTATACTTCGCATCTGGGGGCTCATGTCGTCTGGAAACATAGATATGGCGTGCAGTAGCTCCGACTTGTGCAAAGGCCTTCGTGCGAAACAGATCCAGCTCATGATACGCGGAACGCCTCCATAAATCTGGGTGCCTGGAACACGGCAGAGACGTGTCACGATGTGCTCGTAAAGGTCCTCTAGATCAGGAGGAAGATTGTCAACGATTGTACGTAGCACCTCAGGGGTATACACCGTTTTGAGTGATTCCAGCACGAGGTTCACCCAGAGAAACATCCCTGTATGAGTGTTAAAACATGAATGTTGATTCAGCAAGTTGGGTAGGACGTACCTTGAGACTTCTCAAGCAGAGTCTTCTTGACATGAGCCATAATCGAGGAATCAGGGTCAAGCTCTTCCAAGTGCTCAGGAAGATCGGAAAGTCTTTTATCGACAAAATTGGCAATCGCATTAGTGACGGCAGAACTCTCGTCGCCCTTGCTGAGGGATATCATTATTGACGATTTGTCCTTCTTGCGTCGCGAAATGACCATAGTCTCTCGACTGGCGATCATGATCTTGCAGACATGGGAGGACTGGTCGGTTGATATCATCTGCGAAAGATCCTTGAGAAGCTCCGTTTGATCTCGTTCAGCCCATTCATCGATGCCGTCTACGATAAGCCGCACGGATCCCAACCCTTGAAGAAGTTCAGTAAGAAGAGTCAGTAATGCTTTCTTCGTGGGTACTGGGTGTGATTTGAAGTAGACATCATGGACGTAGGTGGCGAGATCCTGGTGTTTTTGAATCACTTGCGAGATAAGGGATCGCAGGAGACGGCTTAGACCATCGGATTGGCTTCCAAGAAAACTACAAAAGTAGTAGATAACATGGATGGCGTTCGCCTCGGTGTGTTGCACAAGCACAGAACATATGGTAGACTTCCCTTCACAGAGGTCAGCAAGTGAGTAGCCACGGCGGTACTTTGACATACCTGCCCCGGGTTTTCCGCAAAGCCAAAAAAAGGGATTCTTTGCGCTATCTCCCAGCCACTGCTCAGTGGCTTCGTGTTGTATGAACCAATCGCAGCTGCCTGGCAAGTAATGTTGGATGCGCCGGTCGAGAGATTCGGCTGGGAGAACATCGGTCGTTCCCAACCACGCGAGGACTGTTTGAACCTTGACCTGAATATGGTGTGTACAGTCAGCCCGTGGCTCATATCTACTGAATGTAATATTCCGCACTCACTGCAGCCCACTCGCGCTCTTGTTGCTCCCATTTGTCATTGTCGGCTTTGCCACGTCGGATGGATTCAGCGATGTCCGCTGCAGCAGCCTCCTTGTCGGCTAGCTCGCTGTGATACGCCAGACTCTGCAGTATCCCATTGAATCGTGATTCAAAGCCAGCCCACGTGGAACCGAAGAATATAGACCATGCTATAGCTAGTGAGAACAACATAGTGGCAGGCTGCTAGTGTACTTACATTTCCTCTTCACAAACTTGTAAGCTCGACGATGAAACTCTACAATGTCAGAATATACTAGGGCTAGCACGTTCTGAAAGTTGTGATCGTTGACAAGTGCAACGCCAAGACGATCAAGGCGAGAGACTATGTCCCCAATTTTGCCGTAGGCTTCTATCAACTTTTCGAAGGCACTGATAGAATCGGCCGTGATCTGTCTTTACAGTAAACAATCCAGCCACTGTCTATACATGCGACTACTCACCATAAGCATCATCTTTACTGGTGCCCAGACCCAAGGTAGAAAAGGCGTGCCGTTGCACAGCACCTCAACTACCTTGGAGTAATGCTCCATTCCCCGAAGGAATGGATCCAGCCGAGCCATATTCCTTTGCATCCGCCGACCGCGGAGCTCTTGCTCGATCTGTATCGCTGCCTCTCGGACATCTTTGAGCTGCGTGACATGGAATTGTCGTTGGTCGTCGGACGTGACGGTGGATGCAAACCGCTCGAACGCGTCTTGGATCGTGACGCGGGCTTGAGCGGAAGGGGCCGCCATGACGAAGTGGGACCGTGCGCGCGTCACGGACACGCGACGAAATCTGGGGCAGGGGAAAGATGCTTCGACCACAACGCGTTCGCTACTTTGCGAACATATCGATGGTATTTTCAATAAGGGAGTAACGGAGGGCAGCTTGTAGCGGCACGCTCAACGTTGACAACACCTGGGCACGCTTGTACAGCCTCGTAGGCAGACACACTCAGCCCCAGTGGCTTGCAATGGCTTGCCGCAGTCATGCACCCACAGTAACCTTTCTGACTTCCACTCTCCAACATGGTGATCTGCGAGACGTCTTCTTTCGTATCTTCAGACGGTTTACAGTATGCTCACACGTCTTCCAGAGATCGTTGTCGACGAATTAGCTGCTCCAGCTCGAAAGCGACGGCGATTCAATACCCCCCATGCGGAGAGCGTCGCACTCGAGAGCGTCTGCAGTGCATCTGACTCTGTATTCTCGGCGCAATTCACGTCGATACCATCTACTTGCGCAATAGTTGAAGAGATAAGCGACAATACTTTGGTGTGTTATGGCATGGTTCGTCGCGTTCATCTTAGTTCCGTGGCCTACACTTACATTACTCAGATATCAGATCTAAAAGTACAGAGCTCTCCCCATCATGTCGCTAGTCCAACCTCGGCCCAACACCCGATCCGCTTCGAACCTCCTCGCACGCTGTACCGCGGTAGCGCCAGTACGCCAATCGGGCGGCTCGACAAATATTGGGGCGAGCTACTGAAGAGGCTGGTTGCCGACGACGAGCTGATATTACAGCTCGTACTGTTATCGGCCCCCATCGCCCCCTCGATAATACCAAAGATGCCTAGGAATGAAGAACAATACCTTGGAGTCACGATATATGGCCCCAGATGTCGCTGCGATGACGTGGGCAATTTCATGACCCAAGTCAACTGCTTTTTGGACGATCCCGTTGGATGTGATTTCAATGTGCCCTACATGAACCCTCAATGTCTGTTCAGTCTTCATAAGGGACTGCCGATGACTTTTGATCTGCCGCAGTTGCAGCAACCATACATCGACAGTTTTTCACGAGCCTCACTCGATATTCTGTCCGGTTTCGAGACTGCTGATGATTTCGAGTCATCGGACAGCCCTACAGCTCTACTCACCGAGTTGAAAGAGTACGTAATCTGTCGCGAAAGAGGTGTATCGACTAACTTGGCGCGAAAGGCATCAGAAACAAGCCCTTACTTTCTTCCTGCAACGCGAACGAGGTATGCACCCAAACAAAGATGGTGTTGGCATATGGTTGCGGAATATAAGCGCAGGCCAGTCTACGTGCGTATGCCCGAGGCTTCTTTTCAAGCTTCAACGCTGAATCATGATGTGCTTCAGTTTTGTGAACGCTGTGACTGGCGAAGTACAATCTGCCCCTGGCCCGATATGGCGTGGTGGATTGCTCGCCGACGAAATGGGTCTTGGAAAGACGCTGAGCATGATAGCTCTAATCGCTTCTGACCAAGATCGCCCCTCAAACCACCATCGATTTACATGCTTTCCTACACCCGAGACTTACATACCCTCGACTCTGATAGTGGTGCCAGTGAACTGTGAGAGTGCATGTATCGTACGACTTCACAAATACTGACTTCTTCTGCAGTGTTCGGTGTCTGGGAATCACAATTACAGAGGTTTGTCGTCGCAAGCTGTGCGAGTTGCTCTTGCTGACCTTCATTAGCCATGTTCAACAGGGCAAGTTGGCATGGTGCATGCATCACGGCAAACGGAGGTTCAAGCTGAAGGACCACGAAAAGCCGCCCGGTAAGTTGTGTTCACGCACACTCTACAGATGATACGTCGACTGACGGGCCGCTACATCACTAGAGATAGTGTTCACTACCTACCAGACCCTCGAGGGAGAGAACCGCAGGAGCGTTCGGAGCAGCGATTCTATATTCTCCCATCACTGGAGACGCATCATACTCGATGAGGGTAAGCTCAAACGACTCTCTCACATCATGTGGTTCGATACTGACTGAACCTCCTCTAGCACACACAATACGCAACCACAAGACTTCTACTGCGCAAGCAATGGCCGCGCTCCGTGCGACTTCGAGATGGGCAGTCTCGGGCACCCCAATCCAGAACAGCCTGCTCGACTTCCATGGCCTCTTCAAATTCCTTCATTTCGCCCCCTACGACGATCCAAAGGCCTTTGATGACGATATCTCGAGCATATGGCGTACAAAATCTGTCGAGGAGGCTGGCGAAATATTCAAGACACTGCTCTCGTGCATCATGATACGTCGAACCAAGGCTATTCTAGATCTGCCCAGCAAAGACGATCAGTTGATACGTGTGCCATTCTCTCACGAGGAAGAACGACATTACCGCCAAATCGAGCAGCCCGTCCTGGATATGCTGGATCGCACCACAGGAAATGGCAGCCAAACCCAGGTCCCTTGGATGACCGCTATACAACAGATCAACAAACTCCGTCTTGTTTGCAACTTAGGCGTCTTCACTCCTTCGCAAGTGAACTGTGTCTCGCCCCCTGGCAGTTTATATGACACGACATCCGTGATGAGCGCCCGCTTCTCAATGGGTGGAGGATTTTGCGAGCTGTGCTTCCAGCCAGTAGAGACGTCAATACTGAGTACTGGACTCGCTGATCCTATACAAGATCAAGTCTACTACTCAGCCTGCAGCAAGTTCTACTGCGCTGAGTGCTCTTTGAGTCTTGACTATCGATCACCCGATCCATGCGCATGCACGGAGCAGCCGCGACCCTGTCAACTGCGTCCGCTGGCGTCCTTATTAGCTACTCCTAGTCTCACGCCCACGGACAGTCTTTCCCCTTCATCGATGGATTGGGACTATACCAACGACATTTCAAGCAAAGTATGGGCGCTTGTTTCGCAGATTAGGTTGCGTCCACAGGAAAAGCAGTGAGTCCACCACGACCTTCGAGCACGTTTCCAAGCTAACCTCTCGCTAGTGTCGTGTTTTCGTCCTGGACATCAAGTCTCGATATGGTGGAGAGAGCGCTTCGGTCTAATCCAGACCAAGTCATTCAAATCGTCCGAATCGATGGCAAGGTCCAGCCGAAAAACCGCAACCTTGCGATAAAGCGGCTTCGTGAAGACCCTAGTATACGCGTCATACTGATCACCATTGCTTGTGGCGCCTGTGGGTAAGTTTACGAATAGCACCCATGGAACACGAACACATACTAATAGTCATTCCAGTCTGGACCTGACAGCGGCATCTGCAATCCACCTTCTCGAACCCCAGTGGAACCCATCTCTCGAAGATCAAGCGCTCGCTCGCGTCCATCGACTTGGACAGACTCGTCCCGTCACCACCATACGCTACATTATGAAAGACTCGTTCGAAGAGGTACTCATGCCGTAGCAGATTGTGGAAATATGAACTAACACGCCCACCAATAGCACATCCTCAAAGTTCAAGATCGCAAGAAATTACTCGCCACAACGCTCCTCTCGAATGGCTCTTCGCTCGAGGTAAGCGATGCGCATGCAAGCACCTTCACGTTAGCTTTCACATACTGACAAGCTGTTCTCAGAACCTGCGACAATTGCTGCACGAAAGGAAGGGCGACCAGAATTCTGGGTGAGGTGCAAGGCTACCTCTTGTCTCCTTTTGTCTTAGCGCACCTACCCCGCACTTCTCCCATCCCCGCATACATACCTCTGGCATATCGAGATCAATACAAGATGCCAGATGATGTTCGACTCATACTTCCGCGCCGCTATCCGACAATTGAATGATGGCATCAACGGAGGAGAGCTGTGCGTGCCATGTCAAATAGCTCTAGAAGAAGACGAGCGTGCGGGCTTCGCTAGCATTGGTACGTCAGCCTGGCTGAACAACGGCTTCAAAGAATACGACGAATACCAGCATCTGACCGAGCCTGTTCTCTATTGCGACTGTTGCCGTCATGTTCTTCGCGCCCGAGAGTTCCAAAGACGACAAGGAAGAGATCAAAGTCCATCGGTTGATGCGCAGAAGTATCCTGGGGATTTCAACGGGTTGACAACGTGTGTGTTTCTACATGATGATGACCTGGATTCGCAGGAGTGTGAGGCGGCCTTGAAGGAATTCAAAGTTCACAAATCAGATTATAGTCAGACAGTAAGACATCACTGGGCGGATGTGGAGTTGATCAAGAGTTGGCTTGGTGACTGCGAAAAAGACCACGGCCATGCCTGCAATAAACACCAGACGACAGTTACTGATACTGGGCCGCTTTTACTTCTGGATGTTATCGATGATTCTCTCGCTGTTGGGAACTTCAAGGATCGGTATTTCGCCTTAAGTTACGTTTGGGGCGCTTCGAAACAGTTCCTGACCCTGATTGAGAATTACGACCAGTTGCGCCAGCCCGAAACTCTCTCCAAGCAGCCTTTGACCCGAACCATTAGGGACGCAATGGCCTTTGTCAAGAGCCTGGGTGAGCGATACTTGTGGGTTGATACAATGGTAGGCAAATTCAGCATGATCAATTTGGGCCTCTACTTACGAAACTCAGTGCATCATCCAAGATGACGCTGCCAACAAAGCGAGCGCCCTCACCCAGATGTGCGCAATTTACAGCTGCGCCATGGCCACGATAGTGGCTTCAAACGGAGACTCCGCCGACGCCGGCCTACCTGGCATTCCGCCTACGGCCCGTAACACCACCGCAACCTTCGTCACCCCTGGACTACACATGGCGGAGCGATCATCCCTGGAGAATATGTTGGCTAATCACACCTACGATGGTGTAGACGTCGATTGTATCTACAACACGCGCGCATGGACATTCCAGGAACGATTACTATCAAACCGGAGCATTTACTTCCTTGATGAGCAGGTTTACTTTCATTGCAAGAAGCAGCTGTTGTGCGAAGACAGATACATCAGCGATGACACCAGCTTCTATACCCTGGACAAGATGCGCACGACAAGCGCAGAACTGAAGTCCAAGACTACTCGAGCTGGCACATATAGTCCACTGGACGAGTTTCGTTGGTACGAAGAGATCATCGCAGAATACACGGCAAAGAAAATGGGATACCCGGACGATATCATCAATGCTTTCACCGGCATTGAGACTATGCTAGCTCGTATGTTCGATTGGCCATTTGTCAGCGGCCTTCCGACATCCCTTCTGGATCTCGCATTACTTTGGACTCCAGTCACTACCATCGAGCGAAGGATTACAGCCTCGCAACAACCAAGCTGGAGTTGGTCGGGCTGGGTTGGGCGAGTCCGATACGCAGACCTGGTGCGCCCAGGGCATAGGCCGATAAGCTCGTTGTTCAGGGCGCTCGCCAACCATCAGCTCGCCACGCCAGCTACGATTATCTTCGAATGTATGAGCGTCCCTCTGAAAGCGTTGAAACTCACCAAGACTCCGAAAGGGCTTTTTGACCCATTCCAGAGCACATCTAGCCCCATCACCGAAGACTCATACTACGTCTTCGACAGCAATAAACGTCGCTGCGGTATGCTCATAGGCCTTCCGCAAGAGCATGTGCTTCCCATCGCCAGTAGGGGCCTGAAGCTCCTTGCACTGTCTACGTGGAATTCAAACAACAGTCTCACGAAGAACGGGCCAGTCATCTCTCATCTTTCGGAAAATGGTTATTTCTCAGACGAAGAGGTGTACGATCAAGCCTTCCGCGATGCAGAGTGGTGTACCTACAACGTCATGCTCGTTCGCTCGGTAGGCGACGCGTATGAGAGGGTTGCAGTGGGACAGATGCATGTAGACGCTTGGCATGGAGCGGGTGAGACGCGGGGAAGGTTCGCGGTGAATTGATCATGTGGCGATACAGTAACAATGCACGGCTATAACTCAGAGCATGAACAGTGGCAACATGATACACCGCCCTCGAAAAGCTCAAGGAGCGTATATTTTCCCAGTTCCTATGTATACTGTTCGATCATTAAGTAGGCACGTCGCACGGTGTGCAATCGTCTCGCGGCATTTCGCCAAACCAGCTCCCTTTTTGGGGTGTTGCCAAAGCCTTCCGCATAACAAGGTCTGCCATCAACAAGGCAGTACCCTGTTCAGTCGGTGGACGCCATCCTCCTGAAAACGGAACCTTCCTCAGATGGATCCTCGAATATGCCGTGTCGCAGTCTGGTTGCATAGGTATGCTAAGCATTATCTGACTTGGCCTCGACGACTCATGTCCTCCTTTTGATACTAAGCGGGTTGATATCACCGTTGTTTCTCCAGCACGTCGATTTGCGCGAGGATCACATCCTTGCACCATGGGAGCGGATCTTTTGTCATGGCGCTGTACACATTCGTAAGGTACTGCTCTGTTGAGAGCCCGTCGGTGCATATAGCAGGGATCATGCCATGTCTGGCGACGTGTGTAGCGAACAAGAGGCGTGATGTTCGGCCGTTGCCATCTGGGAATGGATGCACGCTGACGTAGTACAGAGTGTCCCATACACCCTTGATCAGAGCATGTATGTCCTCTTGGTCGTTCGCAGCGAACTTCGACCACCGCTCCAGATTCGCTTCGACTTCGCGTGGATAGGGGAATATGGCCTTTGGGTTCGAGCGAACGCTGATTGGCATGTGGCGGATTAAGCCAGCCTTGAATGGCATTTGCATGCCTCGAAACAGTATCCTTGATATGATCCTTATGTCCTCTAGGAGGTTCTCCGGGGTTGATGCTCGCTCGATATAGGTCCACCCGCGCCCTGTGCTATCGTTAGAGGGAGTTTGCCGGCTTGCGAATTGCTAGAGTCGTTCTTCTGCTATCCCTGCCCGCCCTTATATAGGCCTTGCGCTAGTTACTCTTTATTCTGCGCATTGTTCCTGCTGCGTGCGCGATTCGCATCTGAGTTGTTGCTGCCTTTTGGACCGCGTCCTCGATCGCCTCCGCCGGCGCCTCTCCCACCTCGCGGTGTCGAGCCTGTAGTGCAACGATGTTGTTGCGCAGTTCGAGATACTCTATCTCCTTGGACTCCTCGCCGTTGTCGAGTTTTATCAACTCGCTCGAGGATTGATCTTTCCGGGGGCGGCATCACGTACCGAGACGGCTGGCGTCCAATGGCCTCATGTCGAAGAAGAACCTTGATCAGTCCTTCCTGGAACAAGATTTCGATGGTCTCCTTCAAGGTCGGCAGAAGACCGGAGTGATGAACACCGCTGAGTACTCAACGCGCTTCCACCGTCTTTTTGCAATGGTATGGCCGCTTCGACCTTCTTTGCGGTCGCTAACGATAGACTGTTGTGTTCTATGGCGCAGCTTCTCCAAGAAAAATTAGCAAGTACGTCACTACAAAACATTGTAGTATCTTGCATGATCTTTGATGTTGATGTGTCCTCAGCTCTTAGCTGGAAATCTTTTCGCAGCGTATCCAAGTATGCAAGTTCTCGACGCATTTGGTGTTGCGCATCTCTCCAGGGTGCTGCATTTCGTATCTGGTAGATCTTGTCCCATACTGTTCCGGAACGGGCGAGCTTATTCCACTCCGGTCCATCTTCAAGAAGACCGTCGAATTGCGCATAATGCTTTCTGAGGAGGGTGTTTCGCGCGCGGATGATTTCTTTCGTCCACTTCATGTTGTTTGCGTTGCTGATTTTCTGTTTGTGTTGACGTTCTGAAGTTTGGTGTAGGTTAACAGAATCTTTTCGGAGGTTTCGGGTTGCTAGTAGCTGCACTTCTATGGTACTTGCCCCTACTTCCATGGTACTCTCTCTGACTTCCATAGTACTTGCACCCACTCAACCATAGCATAGCAGCGGCGAAGGTCACAAATCCAGCATCACTCGCACTCGCCATAACATTGTAGTATTTTACAGTATCGCTGATGGTAATTAGTCCTCAGCACTTAGCTGGAACTTTCTCCGGAGTGTATACAAATGTGCGAGCTCTCGATGCATTTCATGTTGTGCACGTCATCCTAGGAAAAAGCTAAACAGTCTGCAGCCTACATTAACGTAGAAACCTACAAAGTAGGTGGCCTAACGTTGATGTAGGCTCTAGGCCTGCTTAATCTTTTCCTTGTATAAGGTGTGTGCATCTTTCTAGGGTGATGCATTTCTCCCACAGCCTGCATTAGGAATCATTTGAGCCAGCCCACGCGCACAGATTATAAGAGGCCAGTACAAGAGGCCCCTTATTCGTGGCACGAGCGATGATTTGATCCCCTGGGAGCAGTCGCGGGGGACGTACGAGGCGCTCGCAATGGAAGGTGTGTTATCTGGCCTTGCTATCGTCGAGGGTGCGCCGCATATCTGCGACCTCAGTAGCAATCCCGCATCGGAAGGGTGGAAGGCTGTGTTGAAAGGCTACGATTTCCTTTCTGCCGCGATAGACCAATCCAGTTCTGCTGCTGCCGGGTGTTCCATCTGATCGGGTTCTTTCGGTTGCGATAGCCCTTGTTCAAGAGGCTTTCGAGGTAGACGGTGTAATGTGGATTCGGAACTCGTGGGTGGCTCATTCGCGATGGGATAATTCGGTATCAAGGATAATTTTGACTTTGAGAAAGTGCGCAAGCGACGACTGTGGCTGCTGGTAGTATGGGCATATGCGAGGCTGCTGGAGTGTGGGCAGGCCATCTCCAAGGCCCCTGGAAAAGCGCGGGGCTGGGCAGGGTCCAATTATGCGCTAACGACACGTGCTCGACGCCTACATCACTATGCCCAGCCACCCTGCTTCATACACCTCGATGGCGCATAATCACTGCACCTACCAAGATTTGCATGTTCCAGTCGATCGAAGGTGGCCGGGGGCTCTCTCTGGCATTTGAATCGCGATCGCAATTCCTCGCACTCCATCTCCATGGGCGTCAGAAGCACGGCCAGCCCTTCGGATGCCATGTACACACGTCATATACTTTCTTTTTCGCGCTGCTATTCGAGCTCCAATCTCAATCGTTCACAGCGCGTCTAGCTTCTGTCGCACAACATGTCGGCTACCTGCCGCATCTCGTACAACTGTTCTCTTTCCTCCGCATTCAGTTTTTGCTTAGAGCGTTCGATGAACAAAAAAAGCAATGACGGCTTTGCGACATTTGCTTTCGAGACCCGGTGCATCCGCAAGGCCAAGGGCGTGTAGTGATCAGGCAACAGGGCTGTACGAGGCAGAAAGCGACTCCAACGGAATGCGACATGTGGGGTCCAACACCACCGGGGAAAAGCAATACCTGGATCAGAGTTACGATCCAGCAGCACCCCATTGTAAATGTTCAAGGTTACTACATCCAGGTCTAGAGCATTGGACACGAGATGGTTACTAGAACCCGCAAAAGGTCTTTCACGAACCACTGTCACTTGCGCATGCCTCCACTAAGTAGCTTGGCTCACGGTCATTCCAATGCATCTCAGGCAATAGCTGGTACGATTACGGCGCGAGCATGTTATCTTCTAATGAGCGACAACGCCCGCACTACGGACAAGAATGCTTCTGGAATAGCTAATCTGCACATATCCTAGATAACCTTGCATATGGCTTATGCTGTATTCAATCACCTCTCAGCATTCGATCTTGAACGGTCACGACTTCACACATGAAGAGTGGTGGCGCCGAATCGTTGATAGGACACCACCTCAGCCTGATCACCTGCCGTGCCGCTCAACTTGATATTAGGTTCAGCCTTAGGGATAACTCTGCGGCTTTTTCTCGTTCTTCTCTTCCCATCTCAACAGCCATTCTTCGTGAGCCCGAAAACATCGATATACCTATTTGCCGTGGACAATGCACCGGTATACAAGTTCTTCGTCCCAGGGGACTGCCGCGAGCGGACAACAAATGGACCGAATTGAGCCTCATGAACCAGACGAGGCTGCAGCACGACTGCGGAGTGCATCCATGCGCTCACGGAACGTCAGCGCAGTGCTTCGATTAAGTTTCGACCCAGTCTCAGCTCCCACTTCATCTCCAGTTCCAGACGCAGCTTCGGAAACGTCAAAACATACTGCCAATTCCAACCATACTGGAAGTTCCACCAAGCACCCGGCTGTCTCCTTACTCCGTAAACGCCCGAGGTGGAAACAGACATGGATAACGCCTGTCACAATACTAGGCTTCTACTTCATATGTAAGTATACTAAGCAGCGTCGTACATCCGTTTCTTCTCCATATTAACAGTGTCTAACCAGCGTTTATTTGTGCGGCAGCGCACTACTGCTTCTTCGCGTATCTCGACAGTCGTATCATATTCTCCGGCACTATGTCCTCCGCAAAGACCACTACAGTCCCACAAGCCTATGCTACTACGGTATCGCTGGTACTAATCACCGCATTTCGCGCTGCACTAGTAGCAAGCATCGGCACATGCTATACGCAATACCTCTGGGCAACGTTCAGGAAGCGTGCTCTCAAGGTACTATTTTTCTCAGTCTAGCTAGTGGAACAGAAGCTTACAATGTGCAGATCAGCCTCATCGAAGATCTTTTCCGGGTGCAAACGAATCCGCTCCGCCTTCTCAACCACCACCTATACTTTAAGACGCCAATGCTTGTAGCTGTAGCTATGTTTTGCTGGCTTGTACCTATCGCAACGTTGTACCCTCCGGGTACTCTAGTTGTCGGGCTACAATCGTCTTCCATCGATCAAAGCTTCAATGTGTCCGTCTTCCACTCTAGGACTTTCCAAGACATTACGGACGACAATGTCATAGCCTTAATTAGGTGTGAATACGATTGTGAAGACGGATGGTGCAATTCACGTCCTCTGCGATTCCCGGAAGCGGTACAGGATTCATCGTCGTTAGAAAGTTGTTATTCGAGCGGGTTAGTTCATTTCATGCCATGCAAATTATAGTGTTTCCAAGGTTATGCTTGTTAGATACTGATTTGCCTACAGCATTAATCCTGGTATGGACTATATCATACGCACAAACCTGATTGCAGGTGAGATGTCCAGGCTGAGTCAAGTAAGCAGAGAAAACTCATCGTATGAACTCAATTTTCTGGGACCCATCCTGGATTGCGAGACGACGAACCGCTCCACAGAAAGCACAATCCTGCACTTAGACCACCGCTACGGCCCTCCCTTTCATTCGGAGATGTTCTGGAAGATTGAACATCCCGAACCCATCTGTGATTTAGACTATTACATGGGATATGGACCTTTCCCTGGAAATAGGTCCATCACCTATCGCATCAGGCACTACGAAGCGAAATTACGGTATTGGCCGTGTATGGACACAGACAAATGGAAGCCCACTATCAATCAGTCGCTTCCTGAATACAGCCAGAATGTCAGTCTTCCGGGCTCTGGCATACATTTCGTTGTACCTGTAACCGAGACAGTGTGTCGGCCAAGAATAGTGAGATATTACGTCACCATCGCACATTCTGGTGGAGTACAACATATCTCTCATGTAATTGGAACTGAGGAATCTATACCAAAATATACGTTAAGCTTTGACAGCTTCAACGGAACTTTCGAGCAATGGTCACAGCTTGCGGACACTGAATCGATATACCAAAATTTTGCATCGATCCTCTATCAGCCTGGAAGGAATTACGAAGCCAGCATATTCGAGTATCCCAGCATGTCTAACAGTACAAAGCCTTACACAACTGAAGATGGTACCGTCGTGGATACGTGCGTACTTAACTCAGAGGATTCGACATATCTGAGGCCCACGGATGAACCACTGGATCCGATCTGGGCCCTTAGTGTCTTCGAGCAGCGACTTCACGACAGGGGCCCCAATTCATATTATGAGTGCCCGGCATTCGACCCTGACATGGCCAAAGAGCTCCTCATCAACACCACAATCTCCGCACTAGCCCTAAACCAGCGTTTCGACATCGTCAACGGAACCGAGACCAGGACCTTCAACATCTACCGCTTCGAGAACAAGCTCGCCTTCTTCCTACCATACGGTCTGTCACTTGCTCTCGCCATACCAATCCTAGCACTAGGGCTCGTAGCGCTCTACGTCCAAAACCACGGCGTCTCGGCTATCAATGGAGGTTTCATGCAGCTTCTTATGACGACTACTGGTCGCGGTTCACTCGAAGCGGTCGTTATGAGAGGCTCGGGTACGCTGGGCGGATACGAGAACGTTTCGGAAGAGCTGCGTGGGATGGAGGTTAGGTTTGGGGAACTCGTTGAAGTTAGTGGGGATGAAGTTAAAGAGACTGACACGCTTTTGAGTGGGCATGACGGGCTTGCTGATGTGCGGAATGATGATCGTTCGCAGTCAGGTGTGCAGGCTGCGCCTGGAACGGAGCGGTTCGAGAACAGCGTTTCTGTAGTGCGAAGGGCTGGTTTCGGGACGGATGATGAGGTGATACCATTCAGGAAGAACGCAAAACAGTAGTTGGAAGCGTTGTGCTCTAAGAAGCTACGAAGGGAAGAAAAATGACGGGTTTGCACTGATTAGGGTTATCTGGACACTTGCAATGCCGATGGTTCAGCTCTGATGGTGATGGTGACGTACACCAGAAGTCAATCCGGCTAAAATCGAATCGCGTTCCCCTCCGTATAGCGGCATGTTGTGTAGCGCATCGCATTCGTGAGGACTCCGAAGGTATTGTGATGATGAGCAAAAAGAGAGCAACAAGAAGCAAAAGCAAAACCTACAATAGCGCCCTCAGTGCAATGCTTGTATAGGGCTGAGCGGACGCAGATTCGAGCCTCAAAATCGAACAATACATATCATGTTCGGCCCATCTCTCTTTCGTGGTTTTCTATTCGTATCAGCCAATGCGAATGATGGCGTCACGGCGCTAATCTCGGTGTTATGTCGACCGTGCTCACCGGCGGTAAGATTAAGTCTCTCTTCGGTATTGTCTACGGACCGTTTCCAAGCTTACACACCGAGCCAGGGGGAAGGTTGTATTGCTTGCTCCTCCCGTTCGCTCGCTCTTCTTCGTAAAGTTTGTTTTACACATTACATTGTAAACCCCAGAATCATCGCCAGACCCAACAATGCAGACGCGCAAAAACCAACAGGTAGCTTTTGCGGCAGTCGCATTCCTTTCGGCCTTTGCATCCAGCTCGCCAGCACACCCACTCTCGCATCGCGATGTAGCTGCTCTATCCGATATTCATTCTCGATCACTCCAAGAGCGTGGTATACCGGTCGTCGACTCAACCGTTCCCCTCAAGCTGCGTTCCGGCGCTGGCAGACAACTTACGAAACGCCAAAGCGGTGGGCCATTACGCACGATCTATGATGGAGCGCAATATGCCATTGACGTGACCATCGGTACAGAGACGCTTCAGGTTCTGATCGACACTGGAAGCAGCAGTTTTTGGGTGCCGAAGGCCGACTTTGTGTGTGTAGACGTAAACGGCACGCAACAGTAAGTCCAACGCATTACCCAACTCTCGTCTGGTGCCTTGGATCTGATATTGAACGTTTCTCATTGTAGATCTCAGGCCACTTGCGGATTTCCCAAATTCGGCCCCAAAAGCTTTACTGGAAGCCAAATTCCGGACCAGAACTTCAACGTAACATATGGCGGAGGGGAATTTGCGACTGGCATTGTGGGTCTTGAAGACGTTGGCTTTGGAGGTGTGACGGTCAAGAATCAGAAGATGTCGTTCGTTGATAGAACCTACTGGCTGAGCGCAGGCAATCTGACTAGTGGACTTATGGGTACGTAAGGCATTTTGTATGTTTTGAGTGTTTGTTAACGAGAGTAGGCTGGGGACTTGGCGCAACCACCGCCATCTTTGAGGGCGCAGACCCGTCTCAAGACGGCGGAAAAAAGCCCATCTTTGTCAAACCATGGCTGGAGACCGCCTATGACCAAGGCTTGGTCGCAAAGCCCATCTTCTCGGTCGTACTCGGCAAGAGGGGCAAAGACGACGCGGACCTGTCAGCTACAGGCTTCCTTACGATAGGAGGAGCGCCATCGTCATCGTCGTTGCCGCTCACAGGTGCGTACGCTACCACGCCAATTCTTAAAGAGACGTTCGATCATTATCAGCTGGAGAACGAGTATGTTCACTATGTCATCCGACCTGACGGGTTTGTGGTCAACGGAAAGTTCATTGCCTGGGCCCCAGGTACCTCCGCGGGTACCCACTACGGCGACAGTCAAGACCGATTCACGATCCTGGACTCCGGCACCGCTTACACCATGATCCCGAAGGCCCTAGTAGAGACAATCGCTGCAGCCTTCGACCCCCCAGCTTCCTTCAGTGAGGATGACGGGCTCTGGGTGGCTTCGTGCAATGCGAAACCACCTTCTGTCGCCATTCGCATCAACGGAACGGACCTTCCCTACGCCTCATCAGACGTTCTCGTCGACGGCACTCTAGGCGTAATCGACGAGGAGAAGCAGACATGCATAGTGGGTTTCATGGAACCATCTACTCCGCCTTGGGGTGGCGACCTGCCGTATATCCTCGGAGCCAACTTCCACAGGAATGTGCTAGCGGTACACGATATTGGAAACAAGGTGATGACGTTTGGTGCGCTGAAGTGGAACTGATCTCGTATCCATTGCGACGCTGATAGCATACACAAGATTACATTTCGATAGAAAATACCTTCATATCTGTTATGCACGTCAATATACCGTAGCTCTCTAGAGATCTGTCATGTTCGTCCGCGTAGTGTTCTTCCCCTTTGCGTGTTAGCATCATGGCCAGCCGTTCCAACATGACCGTCAATCCACGGAGTGGTGGTTGACTCCTTCCCTTCATGTCGGTCCGAGGTCGCGACATACACTCAGGCCAGAAGAGTACGCCGACAAATGGATGCTGATATGTGCTAGCTCAGTCCTCGTAATGTAGCAACGTATCTCACAGATAAGCACATCTCACAGCTAGACGTATCACTTAATTTATTTCGTCTTAGACTTGTTGATAGGCATAGCTAGAGTAGGGTCGCTTACGCGAAGACTACCGCAGCAAGACACAGAGCTCCAGGGAGACCCTGAATAAAGAAAATCTTGGTATTTGCCGTCAACCCTCCATAAACACCGGCCGCAAATACACAACCCGCGAAGAACAGAGCGATTTGAGGCGCAAACACGGCGCTGGGGTGGACCAGAGACCACAAGAGGCCAGCTGCCAGAAATCCGTTGTATAGGCCTTGGTTGGCGGCCATGGTCTTGGTTTTGGCCGCAAACTCAGGCTTGAGTGCAAACGCTTTCAACCCTGCTGGTGAGGTCCAGAGGAACATCTCCAAGGCCATGATGTAGACATGGAGCGCGGCTAGTAGAAAGACGGCGATAGAGGCGAGGAGCGGCATTGTGGGCGCAGAACGAGGGTTGGATGTGGTATCGATTCTAAGAGATGATGATTTGTAGGTATAGTCGAGTCTGGTGATAAGGGGGAATCAAGGTGAATAAATAGCTAGAGGCCACTTCGGCTTTATTTGAAAAACGCTAGTCTAGACTCGTTGCAGGAATGCTAGCAATACGGGCAAATTACTTCCTATAATGCCGAAGGTTCTCACATCCCAGCGAGAACTTGACATCAAGCTATGAAAGTGTCTCGCTCCTTTATATATCCCGCTTCTCAACACGATCTTACCCCAGCGTATTATATGTCGGATTTGACTATCATTGCGTAGCAGGGCCTGCGAATTGGCATCATTGCGCAATAGTTGACAAGATTGACGATGAGGCTGATACGTGGGGCGGTGGTAGCTACGGTTAAAGAGCTGTGGTACAAGACCGACACGGCAGCACGTGAAAACGACAAGACCTCACCGTCGGCCCTGAAGCTCTTACTACCATTGCGACCCAAGAATGTCGATTCGAGTTCACCGCTGCACAAGTATTACAGCACAGTTGATCTGTTCGCATAGCTGGAAAGGTTGAGCTAAGGGTATACGAGGCTAACGCAGACGGGTCAGGCGCAGACTGTCCAGGCGGGGCAGCTGCGAGCGCCGGTTGTTGCTTAGCCGAGCGCCCTGCATGGCCCTGGCTGACAGCGACGATGAAGCAACAACCACATCAACATAAGAGAGGGTTGAACAGGCTAGAGTCTCCATCGACGTCAACACACTTACCCTGCACGTTGTTATCATAATGTAGTCTGTGGACCTGTTCAACATGTTCCTTGTATGCCCAGGTGTGGTGCAACCACGTCATCTATCTCCGGTTTCTTCTGGTACGCTACTAGTTCCAGTTCAGATCTTCTACTCATGGCCAAATATAGCTTTTACTGAGTCCAACAGCATAAGAGAACACGTGAATTAAATTAAGCTTAGTATAGATGTAGAGAACTTGTCGGAGAGACCTGAGCAGCACTCGGCCGTAACAACACTTGTGCCGGACACGGACGGGGTAATAGTTTTCCGAGAAAAACGCGTCGCCAACATGATACCAATCTATCAACAGTAGTAACAGTCCTTGCGCACCAACTTGAGGCTCATATAAGCTGGTTGCTTTTGTAGAAACGTTACTTACCAACACTCGATTCCGCCACGACCACGCTTTCAAGAGTTAGACACAGCTTGTATCATCTCGACTGCACCTATGATTTCTGCTCTAAAAGTTCTTCTCCTGATGAGTAGCCTGACACTTGCGTCCGGGACAATGGCAGAGGTACGGGTTCAAAGCACTGCGTTGTTGGAAGAAAAATGCTCACATCCGATCAGAATTCGACATGTCAGTTCAACATAGGTCTTGATACCGTAGGTTTTTAGAACCAACCTTCCTCAAATCGAACTAAGATGCTGATTTACATTAGTCGGATGTCGCAAACACCAGCTATGTGCGCATGATGAAGAACGTCAAACTTCCTGTTTCCGGAACGACATACCGCTACGCCATCAACCCTCCATTCGACAAGGGAAAGCCATACCTCTTGTTCCTTCACGGCTTCCCAGAGACTTCGTACAGTTGGGTCAACCAGATCGAATACTTTACCAGGCGCGGTTACGGCATCATAGCCCCAGACCTTCTCGGCACCGGTGGTTCAGACAAGCCCGCCGAACTGGAAGCTTATAGTCTGAAGACAATGGCATCTGACATTGCTGAACTGCTCGACTGCGAAGGCATTGACAAGGTAGTCGCAGTCTCGCATGACCTGTAAGTCCAATAGCCACATGTTGTCTCGTTTCTAGACCGCTAGACTAACGTGCCTTAGTGGATCTTTTCTACTCTCCCGCTTTCACGCGTACCATCCTCAGTACCTCTCAGCTCTTGCATTCTTAGATATCGGCTACTACGGCCCCGGCACAGACTTCAACCAAACCTTCGTGGAGGCCTATAACAACATGTCACAAGCAACATTCGGATACCCTATTCTTGGGTACTGGTACTACTTTAACCAACCAGACGCGCACGTTCTCCTGGATGCACACGTAAGTTCAACATGACGACTGAACACGTACTCAAGCTTACAACAATA